ATTTAAAATTTAAATATTAATTTTTTTTTATATTAATAATATAAAATATATTTTAAAACTTAAATAAAATAGCTAATATTTTAAATATTATTATAATTAATATTAATATTTATATTAAATAAATTATAATATATATTAAAAAACTTTTTATAAACTTATAAAAATTTAAAGTTAAAAAAGTTTATAAAATAATTATAAAAACATTATTTAAAATTTAAAAAACTAAGGTTTAATAATTTAAATTTAAAAATAATAATTTAAAAAATAAGATTGTTTAATTTATAAAGCTAATAAACAAGCAGCTAATTTTATTTTTAGCTTTTTTCTTAGGTTTTATGCTTGGTCCAGCACTTGGTTTAACACTTAGTTTAATACCGCTACTTTTTTATAATAAAGGCGTTGTTAAAAATTATAAAAAAACCCCTTTCTTTTTTATAACTAAAAAAAATAATTTAAAATAATCCATAAAATTTAAAAATCCTTTTATTTTTATTAATAATAAATTAAAAATAAATAAACTTAAAGTTTAATTTAAATATTAATTAATATTTTTAAAAAATAAATTAAATAAAAATTTTAATTATTATAATAATAAAAAAAACAAAATTATTTATATTATAAATTATATAAAAAAAAATATATTAAATAATATTTTATTTTTTATTATTAATAAATATAATAAAAAACTATTTTTAAAAACTATTAATATTATATTAAATTATTTATATATTTATTATTATAATTTTAATAAATATAAAAATATATATATTAAATATTAAAACTTTAAAATAAAAAATAATAAAAAGTTTTAAACTTTTAATATTATTTTTGCTTAATAAATAAGCTAAGCTTATATAAATTAAAAAAATTATAAATAAAACTTATATAATAAGTTATTAAAATATTTAAATAAATTATTAATAATTAAACTATATAATAATAAAATAAATTATTTTAAATATTATAAACAAGTATATATATATAATTATTAATAATATAAAAACTTTTTTATTTTAAAAGTTTAAAAAAAAAAAAATAAAAATAATAAAAATAATAATAATATTAATATTATTAATAAAAATTTAAATAAAAGCATATTTAACCTTATAAAAAGCTAAATAAACATTATTAATTATTTAATAAGCTTAAGTAATAATAATATAAATAATTATTTAAATTATTATAATATTAATTTTATAAGTATAATTATTAATAAATATAAAATTTATACTTAATTTATTTTTAATTAAATAAAAATATTAATTATAAAAGGTTAATATTTTATTTATTATAAGTTAAAATATTAAAATAATAAATACTTTTATAAAAAAAACTATAATTATTTAAATATTATTTAAATTAATAAAATTATTAGCTGATTTATAAATAATGTTTTTTAAAAAAATAAACTATTAAAAAATAATATTTAAAATAATTAAATTTTTTTTTTAAATTAATAAAAATATTAATATTAAATATAAAATAATATAAAAAAATATTATTTAATTTTTTAAAAAGATTTTTAAGCAAAGATTTTTTATTTATAAAATATATAATAATAAATAATAAACTTATTTTAATTATAAAATTATTATTTAATATAATAATTAATAGTTTAATCTTTATTAAAACATTTAATAAGTATATAACGCTTGCTTTTTTTTTATACTTAGTTATATATATATAATAAAATTAATAATAGTTATATAATTATTAATATTATTAAAACTATTTTATATAGCTAGTTATAATAACTTGAAAGCGTAGCTTTAAACTTTTAGCTGCTACATAAGTAAGTTTATTATATTAAAGCGTTAAAATTAATATAAAAACGGACCTAGCGCATATACTAAGCTAAACTTTCTTTTATTAACGTTTAAAGGTTAAACTTTAATAAAAAAAGTAGCTATTTCAAGCTTGTTAACTAAATTTTATTAAATATAACATATATACTTAAATTTAAATAAAATATTAACTATAAAAATAAAAGGTGAGCAAAGGCTTTATAAAGTAATTATTTTTTTAACCTTTTATTATTATTGTTATAATATTTTTATTATTATTATATCCTTTATTATAACTAGTAAAAAAGTCCTTTTTAATAATTTTTTTAAATATTATTTCGGCTTAAAAAAAAAAACCTACTATTATTATATTTAATTATAACAAGCCTTAAAAACATAGTTTTAAATAAGGTTATTTTTAAATTATTAATAATAATTAAAAAAATTAAAACATAAAATATTTATATAAATTATATATTATTTATTATTAATAAAATTTAACTTATTATTATATATAACTTTATATATTTTAATAATTCTTAATATTTAAAAATTATTAATAAAACTATAAAAAATTATTAAATAAAAAAAAAAATAAATATTTTTAAAAATAAGATTAATAATATTAAAAAAATAATTTTTATTAAAACATTTTAAGAAATTAACAAATAAAAAAATCGGTTAACTTATTATATAACAGCAGGCTAAATAGCTTAACAGCTAACTAAGGCTTAATTAAAAGGCTTAATTAAAAGGCTTAATTAAAAGGCTTAATTAAAAAGCTTAATTAAAAGGCATAAATTAAAAAACATAGATTAAAAGGCGTTATTATAAAAAAAGTTATTTTTAATGTTTTAATTATTATTATATAATTAATTATAGCTTAATAAAAAGCTAGGTCGGGTAGTTAATTAATAATAAACTATTTAATTATATTATTAAATTATATAAAACATAAATTACCAGGTGATTATAAATAAACTAAAGCTTATATAAATAATATAAATAATATTAAATAATAAAACTTTTATATATATATATATAATATAAATATATAATTTAATAAATAAACTAACAAAGATTGCTTTAAAAAAAGGTCAAGCATAAGCGCAAGCACGTATGCACTCCCGAAACAACTCCTAAAACATGTTTTTAGAGCTGAGATCCTACTAAAAACAATAAATCAAGCCTCCAGCAGTTAAGCTGGATGATTCGGGGCTTCATCTTGGAGACTCTGCAGAGCTTCCGATACTAAAGCTCGCGTTCAATTAAACCTGGTTGGAATTAAGAGAATCGTCCTAAGCGACGGAGACCGCCGAAACAAGCAGCATTTAAGGTCGCGTGGTTGATTTTTGTGCATGGATTTATTGGCATTGCCAGCGAGCCCTTGCATCCAGTATTAGATATTAGAGCTGTTCCTCCCCTATGCCAACAAGTGCTCACATTTCAAGTCTTGACTGATACCAGCCCCAGTCTTCGGTATTGTTGTCCCAGTTGTAAGATCCAGCAATGGCCTCTGCCAGCGTTGACCAGGTTGGAATTCCTGGGGGCATCAACCCCACAACCCAGTTACGGCTCTCGTCCGGCAATGGACCCGTGTCCAGAACTGTACTGAAGACGCCTCTACGCGATGCGCTCCCATCGGAGATTCCGGTCATCGACGTCTCTGGTATTTTCAGCGCTTCCAAAGACGCTCGGGTGAACGTGGCCCGCCAGATCCGAGAGGCTGCCACCAACAATGGGTTCTTCTACATCAAGAATCACGGTATCCCGCTGGACATACCAGAGGCGGCCTGCGAAAAACTCCTCGAGTTCTTCCGCCAGCCGCCAGAGATCAAAGAGCGCGCCCACATCAAACATTCTAAATACTTCAATGGCTACAAGCCGCCGAAGTCGCAGCGCATCAACCCCTTCGAGTCGGTCGATGTGCGCGAGACTTTCTCCTGGACCTACGACCCGCGGTACGACCCCTCGGTTCCCGATCCGGCTGCTATCCCAGCCCACGTCGCCCGGTACCTGAGATACGAGGACTTCTACTGGGAGGCTACAGAAAACCTACCAGGTTTCAAGGACGCCATCGTGACTTATTGGCGTTCATGTCTTGCCGTGGCGCGGGCCCTCGTGCGGGCCTTCGCGCTATCGCTCGACCTGCCCGAGGATTTCTTCGCGGAAAAGTTCACGCATCCTGACGCCGCCCTCGCATTAAATTACTACCCGCCGCTGCCTCGTCCGCAAGAACCAGCAGAGCAGGGAGAAGGTGAAGTGTCCATCGGCTCACACACTGATTTCCAACTCTTCACGATCCTGTGGCAGGACAACAATGGCGGGCTCCAGGTATTGAATCGCCAGGGTCAGTGGATCAATGCGAAGCCCATCCCCGGGACGTTCGTCGTCAATATCGCCGACTACATGCAGCGCATCACGAATGATCGCTACGTGAGCACTGTGCATCGGGCCCAGAACTACAGCGGGAAGGAGAGGATCAGTATGCCCTTTTTCTTCGGGTTTAACCTTAATGAGAGCTGTGGCGTGCTTGATAGCTGCGTTGGAGAGGGGGAAGAGAAGAAGTATGGCGAGATCAGTTGCGAAGAGTGGGTTCAGAGACGAGCGAGGGCAATGCATAGAGAAGGCGAGTCCTTAGGCAAATGAACGCTACTGCTCCAGTCGATATAAGCTATAACTAGGTTACCGTGTCAGAGTACCAATATCGATCTTCAAGCGGTGTTGGACGGTGATGTGGTAGGAGAGAGGTAGAACAATTGACATTAGCAGCCATTTGCGACTGATATGCGTAGAAGCCAAATGAGGATCAATAACTAATCACATACTCTTTTCATCTACAACCAGCACAATTTTACGAACAGTTGTGGTCAGCAACCAGTGGGCTGATGGGTTGGTTATACGGCCGGGGTACAAGAACCCGGTGCTTGGTCGTTCTCTGTGCCGAACTCGTGTGCCGGAAAACCGCAAGCTGGGTCGTCATTCTACTGGCCAGGAGTTCCGAATGCTACTACATATTGTACGCACAGGAGAAGAGACCAGCCAGAATGGCGAAGTCCGGTACATAATGGAGATAAAAGCTCCTCCTACCATCAGGCCGCCGACGAGACCCTGCTAATAAATTCGACTCCAAGTAGTAACTAATTGACATGGAAGTTGCTTCGACGAAAAAAAAGAGATCAAATGAAACAGATGTAGACCAAAATGTAAAATTTTCGACTAGGGCCTGATTCGAACAGACGCTCCCGAAGGAAGTAGATAGCACGAATTCCTTCGAGTCTACCGCGTTAACCACTCCGCCACCTAGCCACTGCGTACGAGGATTGCTGATGTGCCTTGTCATTACATCATCCTATATAACCCAATGTCGCAGTGAAACTATACAGCAACCAAAAGTCTCAAGTTTTAGACATGTGAACACAATGGTAAATAAGCATTCAAAAATACGGAGAAATCAAGTATTTGTTAGCGTAGAAGATCACAGGGCTTGAATTAGTAATACAAACTCTGCTACTACAGAGCACCAGGTTTACAACAGTCATCAATAACACATCTTTTGGCAGGTAAATAAAAGGCTTGCAATGTTAGTTATGAAACCTATTACCCTCCTAAGGCTATTTGAAAGCACTAGAGGCATTATTAAGCATTAGGCGGACTACACAGCTAAGCAGCTGCTTAGAACTTGCCTCTACAGTACTTATGATTACTGTTGGCCATCTGGAATACCGACCATTCTCAAGCATCCCAAGGCGTTCCTTGAATTCTAGTTCATTAATTTATGATATTAAATGTCGTAAAGCCAGTCATGTTGAGAGCAATACCCTCACGGGTACATATATTTATGAGATCAGCGTGTTTTTGAAATAGAGGTTCTAATTTCCACAACCACTGCCCGGAGAAAGCAGGCGAGAATATACGTCGAATAGTAGCACGACGAACGGCCTTGGGCTCATTAATAGCAGGAGCTATGGAGCAAGCCTCCATGAGAGGCTGCCTTATACATCATGGCCAAAGTATTCTTTCATGTGTCCTCATAAGGAAGATTGTCTGATAATTACGTAGTTATATATAATTAGCTTACGTCTGTCACTTAGTATACTTACTCAGATAAAGAAATTCAGTCTGCCCACCTTCAGAACAGTGACGTATGCCCCCGTGTTCTCGATTTATGTTGTGGCGAATGTCACAAGCCCCGAGTGTGGTCCTAGGAACTGGGAACTTATTGCTAGGAGAAAGCGAGATGTTACGGTAACAATATCGCATGACGAGGAACTAGTGAAGAGCTCGTCTCTTAATTGACGGTTCTCGTAGAATCTGTAATGTTCAACTACGGAATCTTCCCTCATTACCGCACGGCCATCTCTTAATCCAAAAATGAACTCCTGTCTCAACTACACATTTTCCAAACCCTTGCTATAGTACTATCACCTAACAATACAAAACAGAGATCCCTTCGCCCATCCCATGGAATCGTTATAGCTTTACTTCGCAATTAATCAAGCAGGTCTTGCAAGCTATAGTCCGCTAAGGCTGGTGCCTCTTGCTGCGCTGGGTTGCGGGGCTCGTCAACATCAGCGGGAGCGAGGACGTGTGGCAACGGAGTTACTTGGGGCGCCTGGCGCAGGTTCCCATTATGCTCGATGGTATATATCTGGGGGGTATTGGAGGGCCCCATCCTTATAGGAAGGATTTGTTCGAGCGCGTATCGTCGATTGCACTCCTGCCAGAACGCCTGGTTGTAAATCATCTCTTGGACCTCCCGTGCTATAGAACACTGACAAGAATCATTAACGACGATAATGATCATCTTAATGTCGCGAAGCCGACTGTAGACGGTCATGAGGGTCTCTTTCAGCTTCTCCTCATTGAGGATAGACAACCAGTCAACAGCGACACTTTTCGTATCTTCGGCTCGCTGTAGTGGTCTAGTCTGGTGGAGCTCGAGTTTCTCCAAAGTGTCGGGGTCGAAGTAGACGATGTTGTTTTGCCCGCTGCCGACCCCTTTGAGAAGAGGGATTAGATGTGGAGAGCGGAGTAGGTTATAAGCCTTGTTCTCCTGAAGGTTCCTGGTAGCAACGGAGCACAGACTATGTTCGTGCAGTAGCAATTCTTTGTCGCCATGCCCGTCTTCGGCAGCAAGGCCAAGGCAGATGATTTTACTTTCACTGGTATGACGTCTGTGCTCCTCAAATGGTGACTCGGTGATTTCATCGCGCGTGTCGGTACTTATGTCTGAAGAAGCCATTATATTCTTCTACAAAGGTGCCAAATAGATGTTAGCTAACATAGTAGAAGAACCTTCTATACCCTTGACTGGCTTGTGAAAGTACTCACTGGATGAAAGGAAAAACCAGTTCGTATGGATACTACAGAGAAAATACTGCAATGCCAGGCTGCAGAGCCGACAATAAAGGAGAGAAAAGGACTCAAACGTGGTCTTGCAGTTGTTCGTAAACTCTAATCCCTGCATTTCCAGTGTCATGGACCGTAGTTGCTGCCTGGTGGAGGCAAAAGCTTAGGTAATAAGCCGATGTGGATTTACAAAGAATATCGTAGAGCTCTTTCCCCTTTTCGTGGGCTTGTAAACAACTATAATAAGCGAAGGCTTTGTTGCACTTTATCCATATTGGGGGCCGTTATAGACGTCCACCTCATGTCAGCCCAGCCTAACTCGGCCGCTCGATGCATGTCCCTAGAATATGAGTTTAAGCAGGGTTCTGAGCTGGATCATGCTCTTTGAAGTCTGGGCAATGTACTGGAGTGTCCACAATGAAGAGGCTTTCCAAAGCGAGGTCCTTAACGGGAGACCTAGCTAGTGAGTCGGAAGATCATTCATGCAATTTGGACTCGGTTGTTACTCAGGGTCATACTTATTATCATTGAGAGTTGATTTCTATAGCCAAGGATAATTTCCGTAACCGAACCCGGTATAAATCCAGGTCAGCGTAGCCGTCTCCAACTTGGGTGGCTCATATGACCCGGTAGGAGAGAACCGGCCGTTCTCTGCCACACTTCGTAACGACTGCTCAAACATCATCTTCAAATCTCGAACTTGATGGCCTCGTGGTTGAGGGTCGCGGCAACATGACTTCGACACGCGCGTGGATGCCAACGGTTTCTCGACTTTTTGAGCTTCAGGATCGTATCGAACCAGCTTTGTCTGATAGGGTCTGCGCAGCCAGTAATTTTCGAGGTTGAAGTTGATATTAAATCGATAATGATACGCTTCCCAGAAATCGTGATGATCCCAAGGGATGGTTGTGCGGGTCGGCTGACTATAGGTCACGTTAAATGTAGAACGCTGATATACTACCAGTATGATCGCCTCAAGGTTGGGAAACTTGGAAAGGTGGCCCAGGAGTCGTGCCATATTTTGTTTCGTACGCACGGCCTTGTGAAAGAGACGGAGGTGTAACCCGGTATGCAGACCCCACTGTAATGTTCCAGATCAGTACTTATTCATCATCTGAACGTGATTTTGAGTATTTCTGAAATATAATGGTGGAATAAGTGTTCCAAGTAAGGACGTCTTTCGAACGACCAGAAAAGGGTGGATGGAGCTGAGAATTACATACTGATGTTCCTAGGGCTATCCTAGAGGCACCACGTCTGACAGACTCGATTTGGCTCAACAAGCGAATGACTTTGAGAAGACGTCTCACTTGTAGATATGAGTCGAGAAGGAGAATATCGCGATCAAGGTTGATATGTTTGACGACTCCAGAAAACGCCAGGGGTTTGTAATGGCGAAGTACTGCCTGCCGAGAATCCCGACACACCCGCGACAGTGCGGGAGGAGGTTCATTCCGAACATCAGCAAACATAAGTTTGGCACTTGGTCCTGCTTGTGGCGAGACGGAACATGGTGAATCAAGTACTTCGTAGATTCGAGCTTCTGGGAAAGCATATTGCCACTGCATCGGACAAAAGTTGAATCGTTAGCGGTCCAATCCACGCGGAGTAGCATCTAGAATGATCTAGGAAATCGAGGGCAGGAGACATATATCGCGGACGATCGCAACGTAAAAGCCAACTTACGATTTGATCTCGCAGTTCCTGGGGTAGTCTAGAGAATTGAGGGAAGCTGTTCGCCATCCTGCCCGTCGACAAAGGGTTGATCGGGTACTCAATCCGTATTCAATAGAACTAAGTCGATCGAAGATATCAGGCTTAGGCTTCGAGTGCTAGTAAAAGTAAGCATTTCTATGATGAATGATGACAAAGGTGCATACCACCGAACCTTCTTTTACAAGGAGTTGAGAGCTTTTTAGTTCTTGTCAGCCCAGTCAATTCTTATAAGCACCGTCGATGCTCTATACTCACGCGTGTACTCAAGAAATACGAGGGAAACTAGTCTGATAGAAGGTTAGCTACAGCTGGTTCCGCGAATAGGGGTGTAGCGCACTTGGCCCATGTGGCGTCAGAACAACGTACTCTGAAGCTTACCCAGAATAGCTGCCTCAATGACAAAGGCCTGTGAAGACTCGGTGTTCTGAGGAAAGTGTAGTTGCGAAACTAGAATATCAGAAGGAATAGAAGCGGTCATGAAGCCAGTCTCGACAAGCCGGTCTAACACGCCCCAACGTGAAACTCTTACGAGAACCAAGACCTCATAACAATCCGCTAATCTGACGACAGCTGCAGTGCGTTCTCATATGCTGGGTATCTATGCTTCCCGCCCCTAAAGATAGATAGAATACGTCTAGGCGAATCTAGAATGATAACGATCAGCCCCCACCTTTGGTACCTCGAAGTACAGCTAGGGGTTGGTGGATATACACGAGGCCGAATACCTTGGGCCAATGTTCTTTTCATCTAAAGCATAAGATCTCTCGAAGAAGTTGTTAAATAGGAAAGGTGATGCCAAGTTAGGAAGTGTAGGTCAGAGTGTTTACTAATGATTTGCCCTAGTGTAAGATTATGAAAGCATATAAAAAACCCCTCCGGGTGGCAGAAGAGGAACGATGACCCCCAAATAAGCAGCGAACTGAGGGCCACATAAAACGTAACCGCAATAGCAAGCTTATTGTATAGTAGATCAGGGAACTTTTGAACATGTCATATCAAGAAGTAGGGGCATAAGATGAAATGATTCGCACCAGGGTTGGTCAGTCTCGCCTACTCACTTAATGGTACAGATCCGGGGTCTTCCCCAATAGAGAGGACGTTTTGCAACGAAACGTCGGTTGGAAGATTGATCGGAACATGCAATGCACGTAGAGCATTTGTCAGAGAATAATGTAATCACAATCATCCTTAATGCTGGTTGAGAGATCACTACGGCGCGACGGAAATCTTCCAGAAACGAA